AATTTCCGCAAATTCGCGCAGGATTTTATTAGCGATAAGCTTTGATCAACTGTCGATGAAATTCTTATTCTGTGACATATGACTCAAGTAGATTTTCATCCATCAAGAGCCCAAAAAAAACGGATGAAACATGAAAGAATACGCTTAATTGTGGAATCGTAAGGTAAGAGTGAATGGAAACTGAGTATAAGTAGAACAAAAATCAATTAGGCTGTACATGTTAAACGACACTATGGACAATTGTGCAGTGCACATTTCAAAAAGTGATCAGTTAGGCTCTAATCGCTTCTGCAATGCTGTCATTTTTTGCGTAGATATCATAAATTCATCAATTTCATGATGGCAACAAGAACAACGGACGAGTTCATTTTTGTGTTCAACGAATGACAAACTACGAACGATGTCATAAAATATTCATGAAAATGAAACACTAGAGCACTCTGAAGTGAAATAACTGTCAACTCGTTTGTTGAATGCATTAATCGTAAAAAACTACCCATGCAATGATATGCAAAACAAGACTGAATTGTCGAGACGATTTAAGAGGGTCGCTTCAATTAAGGAAAAGAAGCGAATGCGACGATTATCGGAGATTATCTCAGAATGGGAACGGCCCAGTCGAGCGTCACTATCGCATATGTACAGTTTGGCGAGACGAGAGTCAGTCTATATTGCGAGAAAAAAATTGGCCGGGTTAAAGGTTAGCCGAGATGTTCTCATCGAAAATGGTTTTCACAGTGATGCTGAAAGTTTATGATCATTCAGATCGCTTAACATTTACAGACGTCTGATCGATATTATAAGTGATTACTGCATCTTATGGATTCGATCTGCAGGTGATAATTATGAGTTTTTCAGGATTGGGCACTAGATTTGCTTGCAAAATTGCGCTCAAAACAAGGTATCGCGATAAGGCGTGAAACGAGAGCCACGAAATTGGTTGCTACTGTTATGGGTATGCAGCTGTTGTTGAGCCATTTAAAATTTTGCACATTTCCAACATCATCTTTTGCTTGGTTGAATAAAATTCACTGATTGCTCATCCAGGTGCACCTATATCTCATCGGGTGGATTAATGACTGATTATGAAAAATTCTTCNAAAATATCTTCGAGATTACAAATTCTGATTGAAGTGGAAGAATATATGGACGATAACGACATAAAATAAAACAGCTCCCAGTTCATTATAACCAATAACATTACGATCATAGGCAAACTTGCGGTCATAGTTGGATGCTTTCAGTTGTATTTCTGGTTTGCTGGTTACCATTCTTCACGCTCAACACGATCAAGGTGTACAAACTAATGTTTAGTAGTTGGCAAACTGATTTGGAAGTTTGGTTCCATTGGTTAACAGCTCTTGGATACTTGAATTCATCGCTAAATTTCTTCATCTATTCGGCGATCAATCAAGTTAGTGGGTCATTCAGTCAGTCGCGTAATTTCATCGCAGTCCAACCAGTCGTATCTCTTCGACTTATTCTAAATCCTATGAATTGGCTTCCAACTACTTCCAACTTACAAGTATTCCTTAAAATAACATTTTCACATTTCATTGAATACCTATCTACCAGTATCTTACAGAAGTTCCGTTCAAGTTTTCGGCGTTTGTTGAAATATAAACGGGCTAAAAGAGAGCAAACCAAATGGATGTGTCCACCGCCAAAGGGTTCCACTTCTCGAAAGTGCCGATATTGTTCCTGTGGACCGTTCCAGAAAATTGCAAACCATCACAGTTTTGATCCGTCTACATCGTCAAGGTATCATATGTGGTTCCTTCGATGAATTACCCGTCATGAATCCATAAATGTATTTACAACTAGAAATCACTCTGGTTGTACGCATGTCGTACTGGTGCTTATTCAGGTCAGACGAATCTCTTGTGCTTCCAGCAGTAACGAATTCGAGGTCAGAGACAAAGCATGAACATTAATGGGCTTTGTTATGTGATCTATTGATGTGGATCATTTGTCCTTACTTAGGAAATCATTGTGCATTGATTGATGCCGTGTAACGTGCCAAATTTTCCCAATTGCAAATATTCTACCCGAGTTTACAGAAACCAATAATTTTGTTTGTTGATGATTCAAGAATTGCTGCATTTTTGGTGTTTTGAAATCAGCAAAAACCTATACGTTTTACTGTTCGTCATTGCATGATCCCAATGTCAACGATCCATTTGTTACCTAATATCTCTTATTGTTAGTTACTGCATCATTTTGCAATGATGGTAACCGAATAAATTTTGATTCTAACAAATATTGGTTTTGCTGCAATCATTAATAGTCAAAATTGGAAGATTTGTCGATTCCATCCCGTTCCAAGTGAACCGGATTTTTCCATTCGGTTACCATCAACAGTCGACCGGTCATTTGTATGCTCCCTAAACTGCTATCCGCGATCATATAACCACCCACCCGCAATTAACGATTGCTATGATGGTTGCTATGTACAGCTAATTGCATGGACCGTTTCCCGTGATTCTAGACTTACTGATGATGATGACTGCAGATTGCCGGGTCGAAATGTATCAATGAAGAAGCCTGAAATCGTTATAAACGAAGTCACCACGTCGGCAAATCGAATCTCGATCTCAGCTGGGGGAATCACAACAATAAGGTGTTGTTCTTTTGATCTTCTCACATCTGTCAAGATCGTATTGGTCTACCAGTATACGGTTGTCCCAATTCATAGCCACATTAATCACTGAACTGAGGTTTTGTGATCCTAATTAGGCCATTTATAGCGTTACCGTTAATTTATACCGTTTGTACCGTTAATCAGGCCAATTAATCAGGCTATACCATATTAATCGTAATCAGACCATTTGTACGGTTCACGTAATTTGGTTAGTCGAATTGCATTCATTCGAGATGTAGTTTTCAGCGCTCGAAAATCAGGAGTCCAATACTCTCCCCATTTTCGTCTTCAAATCTACCAGATGTAGTGCATTTTCATCATCTATTCATTGATTCAACCCATCACCGTTTCATTTCAGACGTACCTCTGACGAGAGCTCCTTTCGTCGATCATCATCCGAACACGCTGTCGTTGGTTTCCATTCGCCATTATGTGACAGCGGTGATGATGCTGCCTCAAACTCACGTCGAAGCTCAAGCTTCAGCAACAGTTCGAATTCGGTTCGTGCTCAAAGCAAACAAGAAACGACAACTGCCTTAATTCATGATCAGGTGGAAATATTTGTATGAAACGACGATCAAGGATTCCCCAGCAGCACGGCGTGTACTTCTAATCCATTCACAGAATCGTTTATCTGGTTTCCTGATCCTGAATCTCCATCATCCCCTCTTCCATCCTCATTGTATGATATTTGATTAAGACCAAATGCTTATATCTGATCAGAATCTACTGTGTTGAAGCCACATTTCGAATGCATCTATCAGTGCATGATTTGAGATCACTTCAATCGTTTTTATTCCATGAAATCAGTTTAGACTCGTGAGATTATCCTCTTTGTGTATGGTGAAGAAATGTTTCAGGCCTTGCAGTAGTGTTGGTGTAATTAGTGATCAAGAATGTTTGTTACATTCCAAATGTAGTCAGTCCACTCATTCATATGTTTCCTCATATTGGCCCTTTGTTATTTTTGTGGAGTTATTTGTTTAGTCTTGAATCTGTTCATTGTGTGAAACTTTAAACTGTTTAAAGAGGAAATAGGATATTCAATAGATCGCATGCTTATGTAATGCTCCAAGCATGCATGTAGCATCAATACGCCCCAGTCACAGTCTGATTCTGTT